TATAGTTACATTTAAATGGCTCTGTATAATCCTTGCTCTAGGCCAAAAATAAAAAACAAAAAAGAGAGAAAGAAAGAAGAGGAAATAGCAAGAGCTTTGTAAGTGCTCTGTGATCTGACCACAAACCCCAATGTTCACACTGTAGCTGGGGCACATTATATTGAAAATGTCTCCGTTCAGCTCACGCACTCAGGGAGCATTTGTTAAACATAAACTCTATGTCAAGCATGACACAAACAATACTTTCAAAAGTCTGTATGGGAAAAAGAATATGACAGCACACTGTTTTCAGGAAAGTTCAGTTAAAAGGAGGATCCGAACCACATGGATGATTAAGAAAAAACAAGGCAAAGAGCCTGTGACAAGCCTTGTGCTGGAAACATCAGTAGTGACTGAGAAACTGTAGACAGGGAGTGAATTTTAACTCCAGGGAAGTAGGGAGGCTTCACAGTGCACAGAACTATGATGGGGGCTTCAAAATGTCTATTAATTTGCCAGAGTAGGAAAAGTGGTTAAGAATTTCAGGCATAAAGAACGAAAGGCTGGGGCGGCGCCCGTGGCTCAAGGGAGTAGGGCGCTGGCCCCATATACCGGAGGAGGTGGGTTCAAACCCAGCCCCGGCCAAAAACTGCAAAAGAAAAAACAAACACAAAAAGCAAAAGAATGTATGAAAACGAATAGAAATGGAAGATAGTTGAGGATAATAGGAAATTTGGTGAATTCTTGCATTGTGGACGTTGTTTAAGCAGACATAAAGACGTACAACTGGATCATATTATAAAATACTTCATAGGATCTAAATGTTCATTTGTTACAAGTCGTGGATGATGAATTAATATTTGACTTTATTATGTATTCAAGTATGGCAATTTTTTTGTTTTAATGTGCACAATGTAAGAATGTAAGGGTGTTCAACACACCATGTGGATGATGGCCCAACTATAACTTGCGCTTACTCTAGAAATGCGAACAATGTAATCTAATCATTTTCACCTTCATCTTAATCTGAACTAAAAACATAACATTGGATATGAAGAATCCATTGTGAGAAGGAAGTTGTATTGTGATGTGATTTTTGAATCTTATTTTAAGAGTGATCATAGGAAAGGCAGAAAAAAATGTATTCAAGAAATATTTCTCATACAGTGGACTGGATTTGGGGGAAGACTAGAGGATTTGTTAATATGAGTTTGTTGCCCAATTCTGTAATTCCCATCATTGAAGAAAAGAAAACTTGGTAATCTATATAAATTCACGTAATGAAAAATCAAATTTATGCCCTCTACGTTGAACAAAATGGGCTATTACTGATATTCTTTCAAAATACCAAGTAGAGACCTTTGCATATGAGATGTCTTCTACATTGTGTGAACAGAGGGCCAGTTTAGAGTACACACTCCTTTTCTGGAACATGAGAAAACAAAACAAAGCAAAATTAACAAGGCTATGTTACCAAAACCTAGAGGACAGTAAGGTAGAGGTTGTACCTTACACTTTAAGACAGAGCATATAAAAAAAATAAAAATGCGTACACACACAGGAGATATTTCTTTTATGCGCTGGAATATTTAAAGAAATTTTAAAGTACATTTTTGTTCAGTTTAATTTTGTACCTATTTTCTAATATTGGTTTGACATGTTAAAAATCCTGGAATTAAATGACCCCCAAGAGAAACAAAATAGCAGAGTTCAAATATTATCTCTTTGATTCATCAGGCGACTTTTGTGGAACAAGTGTGCTATAGTTTCTTTATTCATGCAGCAAGACTTATGGTACCCGGTACTATTATTTGTAAAGTATCATAGTTAAAATAAGGAATAAATAATAAGTAAACAGTAACAGTGTCCTCAGCACAGGCCAGGCACTGGTCTGTATATTTTGCACATAGTCTCTCAATTAATTCTCATATGAAGCCAATAATTATGTGCCGTGTATTATGATCCTGTCTTACAGATGATGAAATTGTGGTATAGGGATGGGGGGTGATTGATCAAGTGAAGTAGTCAGTGTTTGGCAGACCCAAAACTTGAACCGAAATAGTTAATATCCCTCCTCTGTCTTAAAACCACTTCATTATCTTGGTTCTCCGTGGGTGATTTTATTTTAAGCTTTATAAATATATGGGCTCAGATATGTAAAATATTTAGAACAGTGGCTGGCATTGATCAAGTGCCAGTGGTTGTTAGCTGCTGTTTCTGCTACTGTTATTTCTACTAAGATGTAATAATTAAGTCAATGTCTGGAACTGGATGGCTACCTTTCAAAGGAGTACATACTCCTTTTCTGGAACATGAGAAAACAAATTGAAGCAAAATAAACAAGGCTAGGTTGCCAAAACCTAGAGGATAGTAACCTAGAGGATACTTCCAACATTTGGAACATGGAAACATAATATAAAAGAATGGAAAGAAGTGGCTCGGCGCCTGTGGCTCAAGTGGCTAAGGCGCCAGCCACATACACCTAAGGTGGCGGGTTCGAATCCAGCCTG